CCCCGATGTTGAGCCTGTCCTGGCTTCGGCCCCAGCCGAGGCGGCGCCGGCGAAGGGCGCCGATGGTCGCGGCAGCATCCGCTACACTTACCCCCGACGTGCTGTTTGTTCACGACGTCGACCCCCCGGGGTCTCGACCCATTCCCCGGGACTGGTGTTTCTGGATGGTCCCGAGGCCCGGCGGACAGGGCCACAGATGCCGAAAACAGCGAAAAGCCTTCTTGATTTTTGCGGAGCGTCCAATCTTTGGGTTTGATGCGTCGGGCGCGCCGGGCGAGGTTTGGCGGCGCGCACAAGGATGGGGGAAGGCTTCTTCGAAGCAGCCCTGCCATCCATAGATGTAAGGCCCGCGCCTTCTAAGACGCAGCCTCCTCAGAAGCCTTCCCATTTGCCCCTACCCCCTTTTGCGCGCCGCCAGAAGACTTCCGCGGAGGCTCGACTCACGGGGCGCGTTTCGGCCGGGGCCAGGACGGGGACAAACCCGCTCCGGAACGCTCTCCGAGCGTGTTGGAACGCTCTGAGAAGGCAGCGGCGCCTGATACCCTTTTGTGTCGACTAGACGTAAGAGTGACCTTTCGCCGGAATGACGTTTGTTGCGGGCCAAATGGTGTCCTCCGATCGCCTGACGCGAGGCGGCAGTGGCATCTTGCGCGCTGGTGTTTGGCCCTTCCGTGGCCCCCAGAAAGCCGCGCACCAAAGGTCACTCTTATCCAGGGTCCTCCTCAATTCCTTTTCCTGATATAAAATTTCTCCTTGTCGCACCCGAAGCAAGTTTTTTTGGCGGGCCGGGCGTTTCGCCTGAGACTTCCTCACCATATATGATTATGAATCTTAAACATCGGCAACAGTTTCACATATGGAGGGCGGGTGGTTTTCAAAATGTGGCGTTCGCCATACCGCGGCGCACGTTCGTTTCCCAAATTTGCAAGAGTTGCATGGATTGAGGGCGGGTCGTTTTCAAAACGTGGCTCTCGCATTAGCGCGGCGCACATTCTTTTCAAATTACCCTGGCGACGTACCCAACCCCTCGGAATGCGGGGCATGAGTAGCTTGGGCGACTTCATCGGGGGTTGATGACGAGACATGGACGGATGTATTTCTGCGACCAGCATTTGGGAGGTCCCATTTGAGTCCGCCGCGGGGCCCCACTATGCTGGCCCCCCTGGCAGGCCTCGACAGTGACGACAGTTTCACAGATGGCAGCCCACCAGGGATGGCGAGGTCCCATATGAATTTGCGTAGCACGTCACTATGTTGGACCCCCCAGCAGGCCTCGAAAGTGGCGACAGTTTCACAGATCGCAGCCCCCCCCCTGGATGGCGAGGTCTCATTTGAATGTGCGTAGCACGTCACTGTGCTGGACCCCCCAGCAGGCCTCGAAAGTGGCGACCGTTTCACAGATCGCAGCCCTCCAGGGATGGCGAAATCCCATTTGAATTTGCGTGGGACGTCAATATGCTGGACCCCCCAGCAGGCCTCGAAAGTGGCGACAGTTCAACAGATCGCAGCCCCCCAGGGATGGCGACGTGTAATTTGATTGCGTAAGACGTCACTACGTTTGACCCCCAGCAGTCCTCGAAAGTGGCGACGGTTTCACAGATCGCAGCCCCCCAGGGATGGCCATGTCCCATTGAACCTGCGTAGGACGTCACGGCGTTGGACCCCTCTACAGGCCTCGAAAATGGCGACAGTTCAACAGATCGCAGCCCCCCAGGGATGGCGAGGTCACATTCGAACCTGTGTAGGACGTCACGGCGTTGGACCCCCCAGCAGGCCTCGAAAGTGGCGACAGTTTCACAGATCGCAGCCCCCCAGGGATGGCGAGATCTCATTTAAATCTGCGTAGCACGTCACTGTGCTGGACCCCCCAGCAGGCCTCGAAAGTGGCGACAGTTTCACAAATCGCAGCCCTCCAGGGTTGGCGAGAGGTCCCATTCGAATCTGCGTAGGACGTCACTGTGCCGGACCCCCCAGCAGGCCTCGAAAGTGGCAACCATTTTACAGATCGCAGCCCCCCAGAGATGGCGACGTCCCGTTTGAACCTGCGTAGGACGTCACCGCGCTGGACCCCCCAGCAGGCCTCGAAAGTGGCTCCAGTTTCACAAATCGCAGCCCCCCATGGATGGCGAGGTCCCATTGAACCTGCGTAGGACGTCACGGCGTTGGGCCCCTCTGCAGGCCTCGAAAATGGCGACAGTCTCACAGATCGCAGCCCCCAGGGATGGCGAGGTCTCATTTGAATCTGCGTAGGACGTCATTGTGCTGGACCCCCCAGCACCCCTTGAAAGTGGCGACAGTTCCACAGATCGCAGCCCCCCATGGATGGCGAGGTCCCATGTGAATCTGCGTATGACGTCATTGTGCTGGGCCGCCCAGCAGGCCTCGACAGTGGCGACAGTTTCACAAATCGCGGTCCCTTTTGAATCTGCGTAGGACGTCAGTGTGCTGGACCCCCCAGCAGGCCTCGAACGTGGCGACAGTTCAACAGATCGCAGCCCCCCAGGGATGGCGAGGTCTCTTTTGATTCTGCATAGGACGTCACTGTGCTGGACCCCCCAGCAGGCTTCGAAAGTGGCTCCAGTTTCACAAATCGCAGCCCCCCATGAATGGCGAGGTCCCATTGAACCTGCGTAGCACGTCACTGTGCTGGACCCCCCAGCAGGCCTCGAAAGTGGCGACAGTTTCACAAATCGCAGCCCTCCAGGGATGGCGAGGTCCCATTCGAATCTGCGTAGGACGTCACTGTGCCGGACCCCCCAGCAGGCCTCGAAAGTGGCAACCGCTCCACAGATCGCAGCCCCCCAGAGATGGCGACGTCCCGTTTGAACTGCGTAGGACGTCACCGCGCTGGACCCCCAAGCGCGCTGGCTCGAAAAGTGGCTCCAGAGTGCTATCGCCCGGCCCCCGCATGGATGGCGAGGTCCTATATTGACAAACCTGCGTAGGACGTACACGGCGTTGGGCCCCCTCTGCAGGCCTCGAAAATGGCGACAGTCTCACAGATCGCAGCCACCAGGTATGGCCACGGTCTCATTGAATCGCGTACGACCGTCATTGTGCTGTGACCCACAGCAAGCCATTGAAAGTTGGCGACAGTTCCACAGATCCAGACCCCCCAGGATGGCGAGGTTCGGGTCCCATGTGAATCTGCGTATGACGTCATTGTGCTGGGCCGCCCAGCAGGCCTCGACAGTGGCGACCGTTTCACAAATCGCGGACCCTTTTGAATCTGCGTAGGACGTCAGTGTGCTGGACCCCCCAGCAGGCCTCGAACGTGGCGACAGTTCAACAGATCGCAGCCCCCCAGGGATGGCGAGGTCTCTTTTGAATCTGCATAGGACGTCACTGTGCTGGACCCCCCAGCAGGCCTCGAAAGTGGCTCCAGTTTCACAAATCGCAGCCCCCCATGGATGGCGAGGTACCATTGAATTGCGTAGCACGTCACTGTGCTGGACCCCCCAGCAGGCCTCGAAAGTGGCGACAGTTTCACAAATCGCAGCCCTCCAGGGATGGCGAGGTCACGTTCGAATCTGCGTAGGACGTCACTGTGCCGGACCCCCCAGCAGGCCTCGAAAGTGGCAACCGTTCCACAGATCGCAGCCCCCCAGGGATGGCGAGATCCCATTTAAATCTGCGTAGCACGTCATTGTGCTGGACCCCCCAGCAGGCCTCGAAAGTGGCGCCAGTTTCACAGATCGCAGCCCCCCAGGGATGGCGAGGTCCCATTTGAATGTGCGTAGCACGTCACTGTGCTGGACCCCCAGTAGGCCTCGAAAGTGTCGGCAGTTTCACAGATCGCAGCCCCCCAGGGATGGCGAGGTCCCATTTGAATCTGCGTAGGACGTCACTGTGCCGGACCCCCCCAGCAGGCCTCGAAACTGGGGACGGCTTCGCAGATCGCAGCCCCCCAGGGATGGCGAGGTCCCATTTGAATTTGCGTAGTACGTCACTGTGCTGGACCCCCCAGCAGGCCTCGAAAGTGGCGACAGCTTCGCACAGGGATGGCGAGGTCCCTTTCGAATCTGCGTAGGGCGTCACTGTGCTGGACCCCCCAACAGGCCTCGAAAGTGGCGACAATTTCACACATTGCAGCCTCCCCCCCCGAGGCAAGACGGGGAGGCAGGAGGGAGGCGGGAGAAGGACCCGCGAGCAGCCCTCTATTCAAAACGACTGCCCAACCAAGGAGGGCTGGGACAAATTGCAAGAGTTTCACCGATTCAGGGCGCGTGGTTTTCAATATGTGGTTCTCGCTTGAGCGCGGCGCACATTCGTTTTCAAACATTGTAAGTGTTTCACGGATTAGGGGTGGTTCCTTTTCAACATGTGGCTCTCGCCATAGCGCCGCGCACATTCACGGATTCCCATCATCAACGTACCAGAAACATGTGTTTTGGAAGGATTATGTGGGCGCGACAGTTACGTTGATACTCTGCTTGGAAGTCCCAGGAATGGCGTTCTGGCGAGATTCAGGATCGTCAGGATGCAACAACCCGGTTGATCCGTGACGTTGGAATCCCGAGAACAATGTTCTGGCATGCTTCAGTGTCTTGAAACGGTTGTTCTCCAACGAGGCAGTTCCCTCAATGGAATGAACCGCCGTATGGGGCCTATGAAGAGGGAGCTTGGAGGGAGGGTTTACTCCAAGATCGTGGATGATTTTGAGGGTCTACACTGGCCCTCCTCCTCCCTCCTCCCCAATCCCCCTCCTCAGAAGGAATCGAGCAGGAGGAGGAGGACGAGGAGGACGAGGAGGAGGAGGAGGAGGAGGCGAAGGAGGACAAGCCCCTCTCCCGCCACACGCTCGCAGTCGACTGCTGATCGTTGATGATTTTTTGGGTCTACACTGGTCCTCCTCCCTCCTCCTCAATCCCCCTCCCTTGAAGAAATAGAGGAGGAGGAGGAGGAGGACGAGGAGGAGGAGGAGGAGGCGGAGGCGGACGAGCCCCTCTCCCGCCACTCGCTCGCAGTCGACTTTGCTGCGGGCGGGCGCGCCGCGCGAGGTGCTGGCGGAGCCCGGCGGCCAGCTGCAGTTCCGGGCCTTCGCCATGGACGGCCAGCAGCTCGCGGCCGGAGGGTGCGCGCCGGCGGGCGGCGGGGGCGCGCCGGGCTCTCGGAGGGGGCTGCGGGGCGTGAAGGCGTCCTCGAGGAGGAGGGGGAGGAGGAGGAGGAGGAGGAGGAGGAGGAGGAGGAGGAGGAGGAGGAGATTTCCAAGTTGTCTTTGCACTTTGGGTGTTAAGTTGTGCCGGGGGGTCCGGAATCTTATTGAGGCGCCCAATTCGAGAGAGGATCCAGAAAAATAACTCGCGTCGGAAAGGGGGGGTCTTTTTTGGGGGAGGGTACGATTATTCAGTGATCCACAGTAGCTGCACAGAGGCACAATACCGCATGACCATCAGACTTTCGGGGGATATCTCTTGGATCGGCGCTGAGCGTTCCGCGAGCCAAGGGAGGGTGAGTCCAGCGGCGGACGAAAAATCGCGTGGACTTTCGAAAGCTAGTAGTTACGTGTTACGTACGCTTTTTCCGAGTCGTTCATCGCGCATTGCAGGATGATGATTGAGAATTTACAGCGGGTTTTGTTCACGCGGCGGCGCCCGAAATGATAATTCGAAAATCTGGTCCCAGGCTGGGACATTCTGTGTTCAGTACTCCCCCCCCGCCCTCCTCGGGCGCGCGCTTGGACAGTCGACGGGCCAGACGGAGCCGAAGCGAAGCGAAAGCCGAAGATTCGGATTTTGTGTTTGTGAATAGTTCCACCCGCACTTTCTGTTCATCAAAGGGAGAAATACACAGACCTATATAATCGTCGATTGCAATGAGAAGCTGGAAACATGTGGCAAGTGCTGGGGAAGACGAACTTCCAGAAACTACGGCAAACATATACCCATATGAACGTATATTGCACTACATGGATTCCACAGCACATATTGCACGCTACACGTGTTTATACTCATTTGTTTTGTACACTCCATGGCACAACATTGCTCACCAGGTTGCACTACATAGATTGCACTGCGTGCGATGCTTCACCACTCCGATTGCCCCTGCTAGATTGTACAACGTATATGTTTAGAAAACACAGTTTACGGTCCGCACTGGCTAGACGTGCAAATATTTACAAATACCTCTTTCTGTTTCCTCCAGGGGAGGAGCCATCCAGCGTATCTTCTCCCCTGGTTTTTACGGCTCGCTGGCCCCTGCCGATGTGCCGAAAGCTCGGGAAAGGAGGTCGGGGAGGAGGGCCGGACGCGGCGCGGCCGGACTGGCGAGGTCGAGGCCGTTGGCGGGTGGCACCGAGATGGCTAGGCCCACGGCGGAGAGCACACCCATGGGGCGAGGGTTGCGAGGCGCAAGCGAAGGCGAGGGCGCGACGGAAACGACTCGTCACAGCAAACAATCCCACCATACTCGGGGGCGGAAAAGGGGGGTGATGACTAGGGGGGGGTGGATATCATGGCGTGGGCCATGATATTTCCCCAGATTTCATGGCGCCTCTTCTGGTTTTATTACGTCCCTGGCCCCCCCGCTGGGCCGCGCACATGCCGCTGGTCATGATTTGCCCCCCCCCCCCCCCTCTTGGACACGCCCCTCTTGGCCGCTCCCGAGTTCAGGGGTGATGGAGAAGGAGAAGGAGGGAAGGGAGTAGCAGGAGGAGGAGGAAGAGTTGGAGGGGACGAGGACTCGAAGTGGCCGGCGGAGGACATCCCCCCACTCCCGCTTCCTGCCCCCGATGTCCTCCTCCCCCCACCGCCCCCCTACCCCTCCACCGTCCCTCCTTGCACAAATAGCTGCACACGCGCGCCTCTGTCTCGTCCCTGCCTCCTTCTCCTGGTCTCCCTCCCCAGACCCTCGACGTCGTGTGACCTTTCCATGGTGTGGACCCGTGCCTCCGTCTCCTGGTCTCCCTCCCCAGACCCTCGACGTGACGCCGTGCGATCCTTCCGTGGCGTGGACCCGTGCCTCCCTCCCCTGGTCTCCCTCCCCAGACCCCCGACGTCGTGATGCTTTCATTGCGTCGACCCCCGAAGGTCTCGACCCACTCCCCTGGACCCGCTTCTCCTCCCGGGCTGCTCCTCGACGGCCTCGAGGGCCGGCACGGGCCCCCATGGGCCGAAAGTAGCAGAAAGGAGGAAAAGAACACACAGAAGGAAAGGAGGAAAAGAACACACAGGACACAATTAATCAAGGGCTCCCCCGAGGGCGCGAAGTTATTCGCGCTTCGCGCTTCGCGGTCCTCGTTCCTCCTCCCCCTCCTCCTCGTCCTCCTCTTCTCCCTTTGGGGGGGCGGCGCGAGAGCGCGAAGTTATTCGCGCTTCGCGCTTCGCGGAGCGCGAAGCGCGAAGTTGGGAGCCCTAGTTAATCCTCGATTCCCGAGAAAATATTGGAAAATATGGGAAGTGAGGGGGGAGACAAAAACCCAGAAAATATTAGAAAATATGGGGAATCGTTTTATTTGTGTGTATTTCTTTGAGTGTCCCAGGACCCCTTCAATGATCTTGTCATGACTCAAGGGGGTCTCCGCTCTCCAGGCCCCCGACGTCGTGCGCCCAGGGCCGCCCGGCGTTTTTCCCCGCTGCCCGCCGCGCAGGTGCGTCGGCGGCGAGTGGCGACTGCAGGCCGGCTGGGCCACCTTTTTTTCTTGCATCGGCCGGGCGCGTGCAGCCTCGTCGGCGAGGAGCACCGAGGATAGGGCCGATTGGGAAAGGGGGGGATTGGGAAAGTCGGGGGCGGCAAAGAGGGGGGTGATGTCTAGTGGGGGGTGGATAACATGGCGGGGGCCATGATATTTCCCCGGATTTCATGGCGCCTCTTCTTATTTCATTACGTCCCTGGCCCCCCCGCTGGGCCGCGCACATGCCGCCGGTCCTGATTTGCACCCCCCCCTCTTGGACACCCCCCTCTTGGTCGCTCCCGAGAAAGGGGGGTTGGCGAAACCTGCATGCAGCTGGTTTGGGCCCCACCGAGGGGCCCATTCCTCGATGCATGGGCGCCTCCCGGCGCCGGGAGGCGCCGGGAAAGTCAGCTGCGCGAGCTGATTCTCAACCCTCCCCTTTGCTAATATCCCCCTTCCGCCCGGCCTGAGAGGAACACTTGGCAAGTAAATGTCAGGAGGGGAAAGAGCACACAGACACGATGCATCGTCGATTCCCCAGAACATGTGGGAACATATGGGAAGTGGGGGGAAGATACAAACCCCGGAAGTACAGGAAAATGCGGGGAATCATGTTATTTGTGTCTATTTCTTTGTGTATCCCAGGGACCCTTCTCAATGGCACATCGAGGAACCATTGAGGACTCTCCAGGAACAGCGAGGGGCAGCGAGGAACATATCGAGGAACAGTGGCATCGCTCGGACGTGTAGACTCTCTTTCGGCGAGACGCATCGAGGAACGTCCTGGATCATCTGGCAAACAAGCCATGCGTGAAACTAAAACATCGAGGCTTCCTAAATGGGGTCCGAGTCGCTGGGGACGAAGGATCGCATACGGAGCCCGATTTCTCCACGACGACGCCGATGTATCGCCGACGTCGCAGGTGCATGGCCGATGCATCGCCGACGACGTCGCCGGTGCATGGATCCCATGTACTCGGACCCCATCGTCGGGAGCGGAAAAGAGGGGGCTGATGATTAGGGGGGGTGAATATCATGGCGGGGGCCATGATATTTCCCCGGATTTCATGGCGCCACTTCTTATTTCATTACGTCCCTGGCCCCCCCGCTGGGCCGCGCACATGCCGCCGGTCATGATTTGCCCCCCCCCCCCCCCCCCCCCCCTCTTGGACACGCCCCTCTTGGCCGCTCCCGACATCGAGAAGGCCCCGAAAAAAGCATGGGGGATGGACGTCCGATCGATGGCAGGATCCGCGGCGCGGGGTCGTCGGCGCGGCCTCCCCGGGCGCACCGCTGCTTCCGCAGCCTCCGCCGCCGCCGCCTCCGCCGCCGCCGTTTCGTTTTAGCCGCCGCCGCCGCCGCCGCGGGAGTCGTGGATCTGTTTTCGCTACCCTTCCCCCCTTCCTTTTTTGGGTGTCCTCCCTCCTCTCGGGGTGTCAGCGGGGAGGTCTGGGTGGCTTTCCTGTCCCCCCCCCATGGAAGCCCTCCTTCTCTTCCCCCCGTCTCTAATCGCGACGCCTGACCGCACCCACAATGACAGATATTCCGCCCCCGAAATGTGCGTGAGCAGAACAGTTCACGCCTGAGATTTGTGGGATTGGTCATCTGTGCTATCATATTGCTGCATTGGATCCGCTGTCGAATCCATGCGTCGTGGTGGAGCCAGCTACAACAATACAACCCCATATTGGGACCCAGCGGGGAAACACACCGTTGCACGAGTTTGTTTATGAGCTCACCGCGCGGTTCCTTCCCACAGGTCTTTGCGCGACCCCGCAGCAGCAAGTTGCAGCCTTCTAGCGAGGGTCTTCTGCGTAAACCTCAGAGGCACCCACACTGACCCTGACACTCACACCGTGTTCATCCTGAACACAAGGTCGAGAATTTCGAGGGTGAGCGCCAGCTCACCTGAGATTCTCGACTGGTCGGCTCCCAAGTGCCGGACAACGAGCGCATCGACGGAACTTTCGGAAGGTTCGAGATGGCGAGCCTCGATGCACAGCTGGCTGGAATCGACATGCCGAATTTGTTTGCTCCTTGCTACAGTTCTGCTCCGAGCCCTTGGGCTTGGCACGTAGAGGGCTATTCAATCACGGCAACTAATGAACCACCCAGATGCCACACACTCAGGTGGCGGACAAATCCTTAATCGTGCGCATGAGGTCCGTTGGACACATCGTGGGGCGCTCACAATGGAATATTGGATCAGTGTTCAGACGAGGTCGAGGTGGAAGCAGCAATGGCCGCCAATATACGCCACGGACGTTTCGGAGCCCGGAATTGGGCTTGCTCAAATCATGTGGGCAGATGATGCTTGCGAACAAACCGCTCTGCTTGCCCGTCTGCAGGCTTCTACCAACAACAACGATCCGTCAACCTGGTGCACTGGTCGCACTGCGAGAGAACCCCAGCACACCTCCGCCTTTTTTGGGGCGAGGCACTGACTCCGGCACTGCCTCTTGCAACGGTACCGAAGCCGTGGACTGGACAGATGCAGAACTAGGAAAATGACGAACGCAAGGCTGAGCATCGATTCAAGCTGAGCGGATTTCAAGAAGGCTGACTCGCACGCCAGTGTTACGGGTAAGACGGAATTTTAGGAGGACTATTAGAGGCAGAGGTAAGGGCAAAAGGAGGGCGGAGACGCTTGCGCGGACGGGACAGTCTTTCATTGATCGCTGAGCTCTCAGACAACCATTGCGACGAGCAATCCTGTGGGGGAAAATGCCGAGGCCGCCGTCGCAGGACGTCCGAGAAGGGCAAGGGTAGGGGTGGAACTGGCCCTGTGGTGGCCCAACATTGAGACGCGTGCGGCGACGGCGCGAACATGAAGCAAGCCATGCCAGACACCTGACGGCCTGAGTGCGAGGGGGCGGCTCTCCGTCCTCGGCGTCGTGCTCGTGTGCCGTGGCAGCAAGCTCTCCGCAGCGCCATTGACGTACGCTGGAACGCGATCCTCCTCCTCCTCCTCCTCCTCCTCCCCTCCTCCTCCTCCCCATCCTCCTCCTCCTCCTCCTCTTCTTCCTTTTTCTCCTCCTCCTCCTCCTCCTCCCTGCTCGGAATCGAGCCTTCCCCCCCAGGCTATGGCACTCCTATCCCTCCGACAACCCCTGCAGCTGGTGTCGACACCGGCCTCGATGGCCACACATGGGCTCCATGGGCCCGGACGTGCGCGCCGATGGCGTATGCATTCTCATGGTGTGGAGGCGATGTTGCGTGATCGCGACAGCGAGGAATCGGCCGTATCGCGGGGCAGGCCCAGGGATGGCGTGCCCGGCCGGCAGCTCCGTAACGCGCCCGCACCAGGGCCGGGTGCTGCTTCGCCTCCCGATGACCACGGAGGCCGCCCGACGATGGTACTCTGCCGCCGTGCAGCAGAGGCGGCGCGCGGAGCCGAGTGGGGCCCCGTCGAGGACGGGGCCACCGCTGCAGGGTTCGCGACGGCGGCGCTCCCGACACCGGCCGCAGCGGGGGCGAGCACGGAGCTCTCCGAGGCGGTCCTCCAAGCCGAGCGGTGCCGTTCACTTCCCGCGAGGGAGGTGCGACGGAGGCAGCGCTGGCCCGAGCGCCTGCGTCGGCCCAGTCCTCGCCGCGCGGCAGGGGTGCATCGGGTGTGGATAGACCTCCCACCCTGACACGTCGATGAGCGAATGGGCCGTTGTCGGTTCGCGAGGGGGCGTCGCGACCGTCATTTTTGCGGGTCCATGGACCGTCGGTTTCGGTCCTAGGCCGTTTTCATCAGAGGGTGGTTGACTAAAAACAGGGAGGTTTGTCCAACCGCCGAATGCATGCTTGAGGAGCTGCCAGCGCGGGGTGGCCCCCCGCGTCGATGGGGCTGTCGTTCGGCCTCTCGGCACTGGCATTACGTCGGGCCTGTCCCTCTACAGGAGGGATAGGCAAGAGAAGTCCAACAATAGTGTGGGGACGATGTTTTGATTGTTTTTGAAGATGTTTGGGCATTTGTTGTTTTCAAAATTTGTTCGTCCAAAACCCCCCTGTGGAGGGACACGCCCGACCTAACACTAGTAAGCTGGCGTGCCGCGACCAGCTCGCACGCACGAGGTCGGGATGCACAGGCTGGTCGGCAGGGCCGCCGCAGCAGCACCAACATGCGCAACGACCACAGACTGTGTTGCGGTGCGTGCTCGGCCAATTTGCAGGAGCACCGACTGGGGCGCCTGGCTTTAGGCTCTTTGGCCCCCAATGGGGACCTCGCCCCAGCTAAGCCGGGGGGGGCGCCGTTAGCCTCAATAGCACAGGACGAGATCAGCAAGGTATTGCGGCGGACGCCAGGGTCGACCGATCCCTGGGGGAGCTCCTTGTTTCGCCGGCGCAGCAGCAGCCGCGGCCCCCGCCGAGCAGCGCGGTTGCAGCTCTGGCGCTGGCACAGCAGCTGCGCGGTTTCGAATGAGTCAGTCGGTCCCTCCCGCCGAAAGACCCAATTCTGGCACGACTGGAAGCTCGGATTCGCACTGGCACCCACCTAGTCGCGCGCGCACAGGTAGGAGCGAAGCCTTCCGGGAATCCCCGCGGCGGTTCAGCCAGAGCAACATTCCGCCCGCTGGCGCTCGGTCAGATGCCCGATTGGGTTCGCAGAGACAAGACATGCCGCCCGGGCGGGGGAGGAGGAGTGGGGAGGAGGAGGAGGAGGAAGAGGAGGGGAGGCGGAGAGGAGGAGGAGGAGGAGGAGGAGGAGAGGAGAGGAGGAGGAGGAGGGGGGGGGCAGGGGAGGGGAGGGCGGGTAGGGGTGAGGAGGAGGGGGAGGGGGAGGATGAGGAGGAGGAGGAGGAGGAGGAGGAGGAGGAGGCGAGGAGGAGGAGGAGGGAGGAGGAGGAGGAGGAGGAGGGGAGGAGGAGGAGAGGTAGGAGGGGGAGGAGGAGGAGGAAGAGGAGGGAGGAGGAGGAGGAGGAGGAGGAGGAGGAGGAGGAGGAGGAGGAGGAGGAGGAGGAGGAGGAGGAGGAGGAGTGGGGGGAAGGGGGGAAGAGGAGGAGCAGATGCGGAGGAGGAGGAGGAGGACGAGGAGGAGGAGGAGGGAGGAGGAGGAGGAGGAGGCGGAGGAGGAGGGGAGGGGGGGAGGAGATGGAGGAGGAGTAAAGAGGCGGAGAGGAGGAGGAGCAGGAGGAGGAGGAGGCGGAGGAGGAGGAGGAGGAGGCGGAGGAAGGAGCAGGAGCAGGAGCAGGAGAAGGAGGAGGAGGGAGGAGGAGGGGGAGTTGGGGATGGGGAGGAGGAGAGGAAGAGGAGGAGGGGAGGAGGAGGGAGTCGGAGGAGGAAGGATGGAGGGGCCAGGAGGTGGCAGCAGGAGGAGGAGGAGGAGAGGAGGAGGAGGGAGGAGGAGGAGGAGGAGGAGGAGTGGGGAGGAGGAGGAGGAGTGGGTGAGGAGAAGGAGGAGGAGGAGGAGGAGAGGAGGGAGATTGGAAAGGAGGAGGAGGAGGAGGAGGAGGGGGAGGAGGATGGATGGGGGAGGAGGAGGAATTATGAGGAAGAGAGGAAGCGTGGAGGAGAGGGAGCGTGGGCGCGGGGGAGGGGGAGGGGAGGAGGAGGAGGAGGAGGAGGAGGAGGAGGAAGGAGGAGGAGGAGGAGGAGGAGGAGGAGGAGGAGGAGGAGGAGGAGGAGGAGGAGGAGTGGGGAGGAGGATGGAAAGGGGAGGAGGAGGAGAGGAGGAGGAGTTGGGAGGGGGAAGAGGTGGAGGAGGAGGAGGCGGAGGAGGAGGAGAAGGAGGAGGAGGAGGAGGAGGGGGAGGAGGAGGAGGGGGAGGAGGAGGAATTCTGAGGAAGAGTTGGAGGAGGAGGAGCGTGGGCGCGGGCGGCACGTCGCCCACCCGCGCGCGGCCCCGCCCGCCTTCCACGGCTGAGCGGGCCAAGTGCATGTGCCGTGCCCGAGGCGCCTCCGCGAGAGCGACATCTCCTCCTCCTCCTTCTCCTCTTCTTCATCCTCCTCCTCCTCCTCGCCTCCGCTCGCCCGCGCGCGACCCCGCCGCGGGCGAACTGGTAAGCGAACACTGCGCACGGGAGTGTCGAGCGAGCTCTGGGCGAGCCGTGTCCCACCCTTCCGGCCCAAGCTGGCTTCAAGACGGCCCTCGAGGCCGCGAGGCCAACTATGGCCCTGAGGCCCCGTGGTGCGCTAGAACCGAAGCGCGCGCGTGGATCTAGTACGTGTCTGCATGTATTGGAATGCATGCATGTATCTATGTATGTATGTGTGTATGTACGTATGCATGTATGCCTGTATGCATGTATGCATGTATGCATGTATGCATGTATGCATGTATGCATGTATGTATGTATGTATGTATGTATGTATGTCTATGTCCATGTATATGCGTACGTTTGTGTGTAAACATGTATGTGTGTATGCATGCATGCATGTATGTAGGTATATAAAAATGAACGTATATGTGTATGCCTGTATGTATTATATGTGTACGTGTGCATGCATGTATGTAGGTAGCTAGATATGCGGGTGTGTATGTATGTATGCATGCATGCATGCATGTATGTATGTCTGTATGTATGTGTGTATGTATGTACGTGTGTATGTATGCATGCATGTATGTAGTTGTATATGTATATATGTAGGTATGTTTGTGGGTATTATGTATGTATGTATGTACGTACGTACGTACGTACGTACGTATGTATGTATGTATGTATGTATGTATGTATGTATGTATGTATGTATGTATATGTGTACGTATGTATGTATGCATGTATGCATGTATGCAGTTATGCATGTATGCAGTTATGCATGCATGCATGCATGCATGCATGCATGCATATATGTATGTGTGTATGTATGTATGTATGCATGTATGTACGTCTGTTTGTATGTATGCATGTATGTATGTATGTATGTATGTATGTATGTATGCATTGTATGTATGTATGCATTTAGGTATGTATGTATGTATGTAGGTAGGTAGGTAGGTATGTAGGTAGGTACGTACGTACGTACGTATGTATGTATTCATGTATGTATGTATGTATGACATGTATGTATTATGTATGCATGCATGCATGCATGCATGCATGCATGCATGCATGCATGCATGTATGTATGTATGTATGTATGTATGTATGTATGTATGTATGTATGTATGTATGTATGTATATAGATGTATGTATGTATGTATGTGTGTGTATTACCGCATGTATATATGTGCGTATGCATGCATGCGTGTATGCATGTGTGTATGCATGTATGGGTGTATGTATGTGTATATGTGTACACATGTATCAGTGACACTGTATACGAATGCACATACATTCGTGTAGACGTATACAGATTTGCTCATACTCGTTGTGGGTAGGGTCCCTCCGGGTGGGACCTTTATCGGCCGGATAGCATGAGGGGGTCAGCAGGTAGAGGAAGGGGATGCGTATCTTGTGTTCCACAGGTGCGGGCGAACGCGGACGCGATCCTTATCACGTCGTGCATACTGGCGATGATCTTCTTCACCCCGGCGGCCCGATCCAGCATCCCGGGGTGGCCAGGGCCGCGCGAGATCGCGCCGAGCGGGGAAACAACGGCGGGGCAGCCGAAGGCGAGAGGTTGCCGCCGTCCAGAGGTTGCCGGACGTGATTCTGGCCCAGTGCTCCCTTACTTTATTAGTGAATTTGATTGGTTTGAGGGTTTGAACAATGGTGGCAGCCACGCAGAGGGCGTGCGTAGCGACGCCCCAAATCCTCGGTCCCCAGTACTCCTACGTGGCGGCGCCCCCGCAGGCACGCAGAGGGCACGCGTGGCGACGAGGGCGTCGCCACGCAGAGCTTCTAAAGACCAAACATTTTGAAAACCAATTGTTTCCACTACTAAAGTAGCTTTCCGAGTGATTGGAAGCTCCTGGGCCGCGTGAGCATTGCTCTGGAGATCATTGGTGCCTCCCTGGAGAAGCGGAGGTCACTTCGCCAGGACCCCGCCTCGAACAAACCTGTCGTTTGGTTGGGCAATCTGCCCGCGCAAGCTCGAGACTGAGCCCTCTTTTTGTCCAGGTGGTCGGCCCGCGTTCGAGGCTTCCGATGGTTGCCCAAGTAGTCGGCATTACCTCTCGCGTGGTTGAGACTCTTTTGTTCCCGTCGCTCACATGGCCAGTGGGATTCGGACCGCTCACATCCTCCTGACGCTGCGCGGTGGAGTCGTAGGAATAGGGGGAGGACGCAGAGAGAGGAGTGCAGGAAGAGGGGGAGGATTTTGAATTGGATTGTGATGGAGGAATAATGGGCATGACATGCATGAGCAGGTGCTTGGGAGAGAGGAGGAATTCAGGATGAGGAGGAGGAGGAGGAGGAGGAAGGCAGCAAGCCTGGCGTGCTCGAATCCCTTTCCCAGGCAGTGCTTGTACTGAAGGGCTCCTCGGAGAACTTTGACGGCCTTGGTGAGAGTCCGCCGCCGATTTCGATGTGCGACCGGGCGAGCCTGATTCGTGGATCCAGGGCTCTCGGTTCTTGAGTCCTCATTGGGTCTGGGCGCTCCCGGTGATGGCCAGGGTTTGGGTCTGGGTTTGGGCCTGTCGGCCGCGCGCAGAGGGGGGGAGGGGGAGGGCGGAAGGCTTCTTAGAATCACCCCTGCTCAGAAGGCGCGGTCCTGATGTACAGGTGTGAGGCCGCGGCCTTCTAAGAAGCAGCCTCTTTCTAAGAAGCCTTCCCCCCTCCCTCCCTCCCCCTTCTGCGCGCCGCCAAGTCTGGACGTCCCCGTGCATCCCGGGGAGCGCAGCTGCCCCCGGACGCCCTGCGCGTGGTGGCTGGCCCCGCGGAGGGTGCCTCGTGTCCGCGAGGCGTGCCCCTTATGTGTCCTGGGTCCGACGGCACGCCTCTGCCGCCCACGGAGTGGCACGAGGGCAACGATACCCTGACCTTCCACAGTTTACCAGCCTCGAACGTATCCCTATCCCTAAGATTGACACGCCAAAAGGCGATGACCATCTTAGGGATTCGCCCTCAAACAATAAGGGACTCCCTAAGATTGGCATCGTGATGAGGAGGTGCCCGGCATAGGGATAGGGATATGTTCCAGACTGGCAGAGAGTGCTAAAACATAACACTCCAGACATGTAGATCTATCTGGACTACCTCAACCCTCGACGGGAATTTTGGACGTCGACGTCCTGGTGCTCTTCTTGAGCCCTCCTGGAAGGTCAGGGTAAGGGGGGGATGGGCACAGGGGGGGGATACATCGACCCCCCATCGCCCATGCGTCGCCGACGGGGGCCCCGATTGCGGGCAATGTCTTTATCCACATCCAGTGCGTCTTGGAGTTTCGGACATTCTTCCCAAGAAACATGAGGCGCACTGGATATGGATTATAATCTGGCTCCAAAAGGCTCAATTTTTATCCATCAATTTTTATCCATATCCAGAGCGCCTCGGCCTTGCGGCGCCCCTTCCACGAAAGTCCAAGAGGCCCTGGATATGGATATAAATATTGCCCGCACCGATGGCCCCACCCCCCGTCGGGGCAGGTGCGGCTGCACCATCGGGGGCCCCTCGCCGATCTGCCCGCGAGGTGTCGCCGGTGCTAGGTCGATGCGCCCCCCCTTATCGTCGCCCCCTATCGTCGCCCCTATCCTGTCCCCCCCCCCCTATCGTCGCCCCCCTATCCCCCCCCCCTAATTCAGCGAGCGAAGAAAGGTATAAAATAAACTTTCCGCCGTCGGGGACGCCTGCCCCTGGGCGGCTGGAAAGTTTATACCCCTCCTGCTCCTGGGCGGTTGGAAAGTTTATACCCCTACGGTGCCACCGTAAGGGTATAAATTTTCCAGCCGCCCTGGGGCAGGTGTCCCCGACGGCGAACAAATTATGTTATACCGTTCTTCGCCTGTTAACTTATGCCTATCCCCCCCCTATCCCCCCCCTATGCCTATCCCCCCCCGATCTTCGCCCCTCACCAGGGATCGGTTCATGGGTTTACCTTCCCGGCCAAGCCAGGAGGGCGAACTGTGCTGCAGGGCGCCCCCCCCCCTTCCCCACCCATGGGTGAGTGGAAGAGGAGGAGGAGGAGGAGGAGGAGGAGGAGGAGCCCTCCCCCACTCTTGGGCGCCCCCCTCTTGGCCGCCCCCCTGAGAGCGGCACCCAGCGTGCGCTCCCGCAGGTCCGCGCGGAGGCCCACGGTCGGCGCCGAGGGCCCCTCCTTCCCCGCGCGCTTACGTCGGGCCTGTCCCTCGTGTGGAGGAGAGCCCAAAGCCAGTCAAGAAAATAGTCTGGGGACGATTTCTGGGGTATTCTTGCATCTTTGGGAGCGTTTTCGGATTTTTGTTTGTTTGTTTTTCGTTTTGGGGTATTTGTTGGTATATGCTTGAGTGTGTTTGAATATTTGTGTGTATGTTTTGTTGGTTGCTTTTTCATTGTTTAGTTTTTGTTTCCTGATTCTGTTGAAGTATTTCTGAATATGTTCGAGCATCTTGGGGGTATGTTTCATTGTTCCTCCGAAGTCCCCCCGTAGGAGGACAGGCCCGCTTTCCCGCAAATGGCCCCTGCTCCCCGGCGCGCCGGGCGCCGGGGGGCTCGGCGCGCGGGGCGCGGAACAGGGGGGGCGAGGCGGCGCCAGCGCCACGTCGAGCCTCGTCCCTCTGCAGGCGGAGTGGTCGAGCTAGAGGGCCACATGCGAACCCTGCCCCTACCCCCCACGATTTCTGAGGGGGAGGGGTAGGGTTCGCAGTTGGCCCCCTACGAGCAGAGTCAAGGAGTGGTCCGGGGAGGATTTGTTTCCTTCACAATTTTTGTCCACGCGGAGGGGGGAGGCGGCTCCAGCGCCACGTCTGGCCTCGTCCGTCTGCAGGAGGAGCAGTCGAGCAGAGTCAAGAAGTGGTCCGGGGAGGATTTATTTCCTTCACCATTTTGTCACGTCTTTCTGTATGTTGTCAGCGCTGAGGGGGGAGGCGTCGCCAGCGTCACGTCGGGCCTCGTCCCTCTGCAGGAGGAGCAGTCGAGCAGAGTCACGAAGTGGTCCGGGGAGGGTTTTTTCCTTCACAATGTCCACGTATATTTCTGTACGTGTTGTCAACAGCGAGAAGCTATTGCTAAGGCCTTAGGACGAGGAGGAGCGGGAGGAGGAGGAGGAGGAGGAGGAGAGGGAGGAGGAGGAGGAGGAGGAGGAGGAGGAGGAGGAGGAGGTGGAGGAGGAGGAGGAGGCAGCGAGAAGCTATGTTTTTCATTTGTCGCCCAACCTCCGCCTGTAGGAAGGACATGCCCGAGCGAACTCCAGTGCTGACGCGAGGAGTCCGCGCGGGGGCCTCCGAGGATCCGCTCGGCGGCGATAAGCGAGGGGAGGAGGGAAGTGCGGAGGCGAAGGCCTCCTCGGGAGGCGCAGGGACCTCTCTCCCAGGCATAGCTCGGACGTGTGCATCGAGGAGCATCCTTGATCATTTGGCGAATAAAGCGCGCAAAACAAAAAACAAAAAAAAACAGGGAATGGACGTCCGAGCGATGGCCAGCTCTCAGGGGCCCCCTATCGCGCCTCCTGAGAGGGTCTGCCCGCGTCTTTGGGGAAGGCGCCGACGAGCACTTCTCGGAAGGCCTGGGGGGACTTCGGGGAAGGCGCCGACGAGCACATTCCGAGCCTTCTGTCGAGCAGTGGCGAAGCGTCCCGGCGGGCCTTTAGCCCTACCAAACGATCTTCTAAGAACCTGTTGTGGCTTCCACGAAATGTTAGAACATTGCTTTCGTTCTTAGAACACTTGTGGGTTCTAAGAACATTTCGTGGTAGGACGATAGGAATGCCGGGACGGTCGGTCCCTGCTCAATTCTGAGAAGGCCCCCCTTTCTCTTTTCCCCCCCGGGCGCGCCGCCGAGATGCACTCTTCAGACCCGTCGTCTCTCCGAGATTCCCGCCTGGTTCTCACCTGGACTTGTCGCCATCCTGCCGCCGTCACGGAGGAGGAGGAGGAGGAGGAGGAGGAGGAGGAGGAGGAGGGGGAGGAGGAGGAGGAGGGCAAGCAGTCTGCTTGGTCCTCCAGTTCAGGGGCAGGGCGCCCGAATCGCACCGGCCGATCCCCGTGTGGCCGTGGCCGCCCTGGACGTCGTGCCCACGCCGGTGTCCGCCGCCAGGTCCCCGCAGGCGACGCCCCAGGCGGTCTCCAGGTCCGCCCCGGGGGGGCGCCCGTCGTCACTGCCACGGGGCGCACCTCGCGGGGGCGGCAAGGAGGGGGGCGATGACTACAGTCAAACACCCTGATAAGGACGCGCGGCTTTGCTCAGGGTACCCTTGCGTCCTTGCTCTTCCTTGCTCTTCCTTGCTCTTCCTTGGTATATGTTTGAGTGTGTTTGAATATTTGTGAGTATGTTTTGTTGGTTGCTTTTTCATTGTTTAGTTTTTGTTTCCTGATTCTGTTGAAGTATTTCTGAATATGTTCGAGCATCTTGGGGGTATGTTTCATTGTTCCTCCGAAGTCCCCCCGTAGGAGGACAGGCCCGCTTTCCCGCATATGGCCCCTGCTCCCCGGCGCGCCGGGCGCCGGGGGGCTCGGCGCGCGGGGCGCGGAACGGAGGGGGCGAGGCGGCGCCAGCGCCACGTCGAGCCTCGTCCCTCTGCAGGCGGAGTGGTCGAGCTAGAGGGCCACATGCGAACCCTGCCCCTACCCCCCACGATTTCTGAGGGGGAGGGGTAGGGTTCGCAGTTGGCCCCCTACGAGCAGAGTCAAGGAGTGGTCCCGGGAGGATTTGTTTCCTTCACAATTTTTGTCCACGCGGAGGGGGGAGGCGGCTCCAGCGCCACGTCTGGCCTCGTCCGTCTGCAGGAGGAG